CTCCTGAGCGACACACACTACTGGGAAAGAGACACAAGAGACATGTGTTGCTGAGACAGACACCGAGAGACAAGCACCACTGGGAGAGAGACTGTGAAAGACTACTGGCTGAAAGACAGCGGGCTGAGAGAGACTGAGCGTTGTTCCTGAACTTGAATTGTAGCCTCGTGCTTCCCTACTAAACCCAATAATCTGTGAGTTCTGTGTGGCCACTGCAGTGAATTATCAAACCCTGAGCAGAAAGGTGGTGGGTGCTGTGGGAGGAACAGTTAGTTGGTGTCAGGGTTGATGAAAGAGCTGGAGGGAGGCAGCATGTTTGGCCTCACAGGAATAGGCCTCAGGCTATTAATGGTGATTCTGTCTTCCTCTTGTGTGGTTAGAGGAGGTCAGAAGATGGTGTCTCCCTGCCTCTTTAGCAATGACCCTACATAGAACAGAATGAAACACTACCTGATCCTCTACCATCCTCACAATCATTGCTATGCGGGAGCCCACTGTTGCAGCCACTGTGTCAATTCATCTCATTCAGGCCTTCCTGTTTGTCAATGACCCTCTGCTTTACCAAGCATGAGTCCTTCTCCAGGGACCGGTTCCTCCTGACAACAAGTCCAAAGATGTGAGACGAAGTCTCGTTAACCTCACTTCTAAGGAACATGCTGGCTGTACTTCTTTCAAGACAGATGTGTTTGTTATTCTGATGATCCATAGTATATTAAATATTCTTCACAAACAACATAATCCAAAGGAATCAATTGTTCTTTAGTCTCCCTTATTCACTGTCCAGTATACATTGTCCTTATTTCACACACATATGAGGCAACTGAAAATACCACAGTTTGGGTCTGGCACACCTTACTCCTCAAGGTGACATCTTTGCTTTTTTTTTTTTAAAAAAACACTCAAAAGAAGTCTTTTGTCGCAGATTTGCGCAATGCAATATGTCATTTGATTTCCTGACTGCTGTTTTCATGGCCATTGATTGTGGATCCAAGTAAAATGAAGTCTTTGACAACTTCACAATCTTTTCTCCATTTTATCATGATGTTGCTTACTGGTCCAGTTGTGAGGATTTTTGTCTTCTTTATATTGAAGTGTAATCTACATTGAAGGCTATAGTCTTTTATCTTCCTCAATAAGGGCTTCAAGTCCTCTTCACTTTCAGCAAACAACATTGTGTCATCTGCATACCACAGGCTGTTACTGAGTCTTCTTCAATCTTGATGCCATGTTCTTCTTTATACAGCCCAGCTTCTCAGATTATTTGCTCAGCATACAGACTGAATTAAATATGATGGAAGGATACAAACAATCCTGAATCACCTCTCTCCTGATTAAAACATGTAGTATCCTCTTGTTCTATTTGAGTGACCATCTCTTTGTCTGTGTCCAGGTTCTGCATGAGCACAACTGATTGCTCTGGAATTCCCATTCTCCGCAACAATATCCATATATGTTATGATCCACACAGTCAAATTCCTTTTCTTAGTCAGTAAAACACAGGTACCCATCTTTCTGGTATTCTCACCTTTCAGACAAGACCCATCTGATATCAGTAATAAAATCCCTTGTTCCTCATTCTCTTCTGAACCAGGCTTGACTATTTGGCAGTTCCCTCTTGATGTAGTGGTGCAACCATTTTTTAATTATCTTCAGCAACATTTTATTTGTGTGTGATGCTAATGATACTGTTCAGTAATTTCCACATTCCATTGGATCATCTTTCATTGGAATGGGCACAAATACATATCTCTTCCAATTGGTTGGCCAGATAGCATCTTGCAAATTTTTGGCACAGACGAGTGAGCACTTCCAGTGCTGCATGCACCTGCTGTAACATCTCAACTGATATTCTGTCAATTCCTGGAGTCCTGCTTTTCACCAATGCCTTCAGGGCAGGTTAGACTTCTTCCTCTAATACCACCAGTTCTGGATCATATGCTCCCCTCATGAAACAGCTGAATACCAATTAATTTTAAGTTTAGCTTAACTAGTAAAAATGGTCTGCCTTGAGCATTATGGTCTTTTAAGAACTATCTGTATGGGATCATAGGAGCTCTGGTGGCATAGTGGTTAAAGGATCTGGCTGCTAACCAAAAGGTCAGTGGTTTGAACCCACCAGCCACCCTATGGGATTAAGATGAGGCAGTCTGCTTCCGTAAACATTTACAGCCTTGGAAACCCTATGGAGCAGGTCTACTCTGTCCTACAGGGTTGCTATGAGTCAGAATTGACTTGACAACAGTGGGTTTTAACATATGGGATTATATTGACAATAGCAACTTGAAAGATTAGATAGGAACCTGAAGGGACAGAGAGTTGATGTTAGAGAGGGAAGAATAACTCAGAAAAGGAGGGTGAGAATGGTTGCATAACTCAAAGAATATAATCAGTATCACTAAATTGAACATGTAGAAACTGTTAACTAACGTATATTTTGCTGTGTATATTCTTAACAACAACAACGAAATTTTTTGAAAAGTAGAAGCAAAGTCCTGGGGATGGGGCAACATTATTCTGATTAAAAAATAAAAATACATGCTCATATTAAAATCATCAAACCTTACAGGAATATTTAACACAGAAAGCAAAAATATTCTGTTATCCTTACCCTAGTAATAATGAATCCTGTTTTTTTTTTGTCATATATACTTATGTATGGTTGTTGTTGTTGTTGCTGTTATGTGTCATCGAGTAAGACCCGACTCATAGCAGCCCCTCCTTGGGTTTCCGAGGCAGTATCACTACGGAAGTAGATTGACCCATCTTCCTTCCGAGGAGTGGCTGGTGGGTTTGAACCACCAGCCTTCTGGTTACCAGTCAAGTGCCTTAGGCACTACGCTACCAGAGCTCCCTAGGGGGGTAATTAGAGACCTGGAAATGATCTCACTCTCTCCCCATTGTACAAGTGGGAAAACTGAGGCCCAAAGAGGATGGGAAATTGTCCAAGGTCACGAAGTAAGGCAGGGTCGCTGGTAGGTCTCCTGTCCTCAGCTGGAGATGGGAGAAACTCTTTGCCCCACGAGCAGCAAGGACTAAATAGGAAAGCAAAGTACCCCCTGAACTAATTTTTAAATTTTCTACATTAGGTATCTACTAAATTTATGGTAGTCAATGAATTTTTAGAATTACTATGTTTTACACAACAGAAAACTAATTAATCTAAGGGAAAGCAGCTATCCTTAAATATTATGGATTATAACAAATATAAGGACCAGCTTCATCATGTTAAATGAAATTTTAAAAAGCAAAATATTAAATGAGATTGTTTCTTATAGAAATACAGTTTTTAAAGGAACAAAACTAAATAAATAACCAAATAACTGACAATTGATAATAACAAAATGATATTTTTTAAGTCATATTCACTGATACCAGATTTTGTTCTGTAATTAAAGTATTCTATTTAGCAAGTAGCATAATTCTATTTCATGAACAGGTGTCAATTATGATCACCCTAAAACTGTGGTTCTCAACCAGGGTCAATTTTGTCCTCCAGAGATCATTTGGCAATTTCTGAAGACATACTGAGCAGACATAACTGGAAGAGTAGGCTACTGGCATCTAGTGGGTAGAAGTCAAGAATACTAACAAGCATCCTACAATATACACAAAGAATTTTCCAGTCCAAAATATCAATAATACTGAGGTTAAGCATTAACCTTGTTAACCTAAAGGAATTGAAAGTAAAGAAAAAAAATTGTAGAAAAAAGAAAAAAACAAGTAAAGAAACATCATTTCTAAAACCACGAACCCCATTTATAGCCCTTATGAGATACCCATCCATCCACTGGCATCGAGTTGATTCCAACTCAGAGCAACCCTATAGCGCAGAGTAGAAGTGCCCCCATAGGATTTTCAAAGCTGTAAATCTTTACAGAAGTAGACTGCCTCCTCTTTCTCCCACGGAGCAGCTGGTGGGTTTGAACCGCTAAACTCTTGGTAAGCAGCCCAATGCTTTAACCACTGCACCACCAGAGCCCCTTTTATGAGATACATGACATTACAATCTGTAGGATGCTCTGGTCATGCATGCTCACTATTCAAAACCCTAAGAGTGATGCATGTGACAATGTCTACATTTGAGGAGGTATAATACAATTGATCTTCATTTTTTACAGATTCTGTATTTACAAATTCACTTGCTCACTAAAATATATTTGTAACCTCAAAATCAATACTTGTAGTGCTTTTGTAGTTATTCATGGATATGCACATAAAGGCAAAATTTTGGGTCACCTACCACACATGTTCCAGGCTAAGGTCTCATTTCAGCTCTTATACTGTAAATAAGTGTCCTTTTCATAGTTGAATTCAGTGCTACATTTTTTCACTCTGTTTTTCTGTTGGTGATTTCATTGCTTCAAATGGCCCCCAAGCATAGTGCTATATTAATTCTATGTTTTCCAAGGGCAGGATTCAGACCAAGAGTAAACTGAAAAAAAAACAAGCCAATTGCCATCTAGTCAGCTTTGACTCATGGTGACCCTATGTGTTACAGAGCAGAACTGTGCTCCAAAGGGTTTTCATTTTTGTGACCTTTAATAAGCAGATCAAAGGCCTTTCTTCTGAGACATCTCTGGGTGGATTCGAACTTCCAACCTTTCAGTGAGTAGCTCAGCGTTTAACCATTTGTGCCACCCCACACTACAAAGGGATGTATTTTAAAATAACTTTCTAACAAGTACAGAAATATAAAATGGAAAAGGGCTCCCTCAAAAAACTAGTCTCCTTTTACTGGATGTGTTTAGGCAGAGGTTTGATGATTTGATGACTACTTATAAGAAAAAAGAGATGAGATTCAGAGCCTAGATGTGTTAGCCTGGTTAAGTTACCCTTCACTCAGTTGTTTGTTTTAAGATGACAAGATATAAGAAAAGGATTACTTACTGATTTTCCAAGCCTTCCTGTTCTGCGGTTCCAAGATTCTACAGAACTGTATGGAAGTTGGGCTCAGCAAGGCTCACCATAAATTCTTTACACCATAAATTCCACAGGTGCAAAGTCTGCATCTCTCTTGTTATCTGCTTACCCCTACTACCTGGCATACAGTGGGAATTTAATATCTGCTAAGCTTGCACTAAAATGGGAGTATGCTGACGGAGATGCCCAACAACCTATCTGTCCACGTTTTCCTCCTCCATGTGACAGCGGCTGTTAACACACAAAGAAGCCCAACAGGATGGCTCCTCTGTTTTCAAGAATTTTATAAAAGTCCAAGTAAAGTTCATCGACCGTGATCACCTCTCGGTCCAGCTTTCTAGCACGGCGACCGTAAGGTCCTCATCTGGTCGTTCCGACAGCAAAAAAAAAAAAACAACGTCACTCGCCTCTGGATCTCCCGAATCCCATACGGTTCAGGGCCCAGCTAAAACAGAGGCCAGAGACACGGCTGAGGAAAGAAGCGGCTACAACACAAGTAGAACCCGAAGAGTTCGCGAGCGCGGAGAGGGCTTGAAATGACTCACCTCGGGAAGGGACTTGCCACAACTGAGACTGTAAATCTTCACCTCGTTGAGGCTGGAGACCTGCATTGTGGCGCCGAGATGCGACGAACCCCGCTAGTGTTCTGGCCACTCTCCCCTCGGTGGACTCAAGCATCAAAATCTCAGAGCCTCTAAGGCATGCTTCCGCGGCGTGCGGCAGCGTGCGTTCTCTGATGACGCACTTCCGAGCGCCGGAAAACGTTCATGTTCCGGGAAGACCGAGTTGGATAGTTTGGGAAGAAGGCAGCTGCCCGGAGTTGACTGAGGTTCTGGAGAGGCGGCAGAATCTGATGACGGCACTGATCCGAAAAGCGAAAGAAATCCTGAGCGGCAGAAAGGGTCTTTATGGTCGCTGCCCAGGCTGTCGAGAGGCTTTGAGATCTCTGTCGAGTGAACCAAGCCGGCAAAGGCGGCCTGTGTGCAGGCGGATTCTGAGCGGAAATGTTCACTTTTTTCTCGCCTGCAGTGTTTCCACAGCATTATATTATAAATAAATGCTCTTTTTAAAGTGATACATTGAAATGTTGTTTTATTCTGGCCTTGTTTTACACTCATCCACTAACTAATGAGGGAAATAAAAGTTTTAAATGTACTTTAAAATGGAGGGGGTGAAGATTAGGAAAGAATTGGTTTGAACATGGCTTCTTTGGGATGGGTATGTGACAGTAATGACAGACCGTCTGCATTGTTTTCACATAGTCCAGTTACATGGGGAGCCGCCTTACTTTTGCCTACTTCTGAGGAATTGAGAATTCTTGGCTTGGTTAGAGGAAAACTACAGGAGAAGATGTATGGCTAACTGCACTTAAACTGGTCCTGGTGAAATTGAAGCCTAGTATACACTTCCCTACCAAACAACGTTTGCATTCTTACAAATCATAGATTGGTGAAAAGAGCCAAGTAAAGTTCCAGTGTCCCGGTATTGTCCTGATGGTCCTACTACTATATATGTTGCCTGGTTAATTCAACCTTCATTTTAGGGCACGGTGGCATTGCTTAATATAACTTAGTTCCTAATACTTCAAGTCAAAAGGAATTTCAAGTGTCATTTTATTAAAAAAACAGACTTACCTGGCTTCCAAATCCCAGTTTCTTACCGCCTATATCTGGTGGCATAGTGCCTAAGGCATTTGACTGCTAACCAGAAAGCTGGCAGTTCAAACCCACCAGCCACTCTGAGGAAGGATGATTAGGGAATCTACTTCTGCAGAAATACTGCCTGGGAAGCCCAAGGAGGGGTCTCTATTAGACTGGACCGACTTGAGGGCAGTGAGGTTTTTTTTGTTGTTTTTTTTTTTTTCTTCAATTCAATAATCACCATGTGATTTTCTTTGTCAGGTCCCAGACTTAGCACGTTTGCAACTAAATTCCTTAACTGAGCTCCTCTCAATATTCTCCTGTGTTCTTTATCTTAATTAATAGCACCACTGTCTTCATAGGCATGTAGGTTAGAACAGTCAGAATGATCTTCAACCCATTTCTACTTCACATTCAGTCTCTAAACCTTATTTTAATTCTGAAATATTTCCTATAAAGTCTTATTGTTATTCCTCTTGTCCAAATTCAGAGACTCATAATTTTTTAGATTATCACATCCCAACTTATCTCTTTCCTTTCTTTGCTTTAATACATACATCCTTTTGCTGCTATGGGAGTCATCTTTCTAAAACAAAAAATACAATCATTTCACTCCTTTACCCAGAAATTCTTGTTATGTTTTTAGGTGCTATCACGTCAGTTTCAACTCACCAACCACGTGTACAACAGAATGAAACACTGTCCAGTCCTGCGTCATCCTCACAATTCTTGCAATGCTTGAGTCCATTACTGCAGCCACTGTGTTAATCCATCTTGTTCAAAGTCTTCCCCTTTTTTGGTCACTCTCTACCACACATCATGTCCTTCTGCAGGGACTAGTCCCTGCTGATAAAATGACCAAAGTACAAGAGACAAAGTCTGGCCATTCTCACTTCTAACGAGCATTCTGGCTACACTTCTTCCAAGACAGATTTATTTGTTCTTCTGGCAGTCCATGGTTTATTTTCTATTCTTCACCAACACCATAATTCAAATGCATCAATTCTGAGAAAATTTTAGAGACTTTCAAATCCTAGCTAACAAATACCCACACCATGTTTTATCTAAGTTAGGCTGAGAGTTCTTCATGGAATTATGTCATTTGTGTTTATATTCACTGTCTGTCCCATGGAGACCCTGGATGGTATAAATGGTTAAGTTCTAGCCAAAAGGTTGGCAGTTCAAACTAACCAGAGGTGCATGGGAAGACAAGCCTGGCAATTTGCTTCCAAAAAGTCATAGCCTTGACAATACTATGGAGTAGTTCACTCTGCACACATGAGTCTCCAGGAGTTCAGAATTGACCTTATGGCAACTAAACAAACAAAACAAATCCTTCTTCCCATTCACGCCCACCCCAGGACTCAGAACACTGTCTGACCTATGTTAAGCATTGCAAAATATTTTTATTTAGTAATATAAATAGGTAAGGAACTCTCGTGGTGTAGTGGGTAAGGCAGTTGGCTGCTAACCACAAGGTCGATGGTTCAAACTCACAGCTTCTCCGTAGGAGGAAGATGAAGCAATCTACTTCCATAAAGATTCACAGCCTTGGAAACCCAATGGGGGTCATTATGAGTTGGAATTGACTCAGTAGCAGTGGGTAACATAAATAAGTATAAATACCTAAACTTATCGAATTCAAGATGAGTCAATTCTGACTCACAGTACCCCTAAATAGAAGAGTAGAACTACCCTCATAGGGTTCCCAAGGCTGTAATCTTTACATACTGTAGAGACATGGCCTCAGAAACCCAAACAGGGAGCCCCTATGAGTTGGAATCAACTCAACGTGAGTTTGTTTTTCTGCATTATTTTTTTTTAATCTTTACAAATGCTGACTGCCTCATCTTTCTACCACTGAGCGGTAGGTCGGTTCCAGCCTCTGAACTGACCTCTCTTTTAGCAGCTGAAACCTTAACTAATATGCCACCAGAGCTCCTTAGGGGGGAATTACACAAACAAACGCAACCACTACTGTGGAGTTGGATCCGACTCATAGCGAGCCCTCCTTGGGTTTCCCAGGCAGTATCACTAC